CCCAAATACCACCCAAACAATCCATTGATAAGACAGATCTGAGTTTATGGTTACTGAAGTATGAGGGAGCACCTTAGGAGCCGCGGTGTGCTGAGCTAACTCCGATCAGCTGAGAAGCTGGATCCTGAGCATTTCTTTCCAATTCCCTGTTCAGTGATGTCACCTTGGTAACTTGAAGTTAGCCAATATAGGAATATTTCTACCAAACAAATCATCAAAGTCCACAAATCAGGGATATATTTTTATCTTCAGGGTTCCAGATTGCTTTAGTAGCATCTTAGGTTATAGAAGCAAAGTTGGGATATTTAGGAAATGTTGAAGTTTGCATTAAGGCAAATCTTTTAATGCAGAGGCTTGATTAAGATTGGGTAAGGATCATAATATACTGTAAAAGTTTAGGATTGGTAGACAAAACAAGGAGAGGGTTTTGAAGCAAGGTTTTCTAACAATCTTGGAGAATAGTCATTTGATGCTATCTACTGAAAAGTCAGACAGTTTGATGTTAATTAAAATGAATTTTTCTCTAAGTTCCTGATATAAAAAATTACTTGCAACTTTTATCTTCTGAGTGAGAGTTTCCTGGAATACTAGTAATAAAGTCATGTTGGTGAAGACAGTGGAATAGTAAAGTCATGTTAATGTACACAGTAAGCTAATGGGTGTGGATGGTTTCGGTTCTCACATATAATACTTGAGCCTTCAAATTATATAAGAATTAAGGAGAGGCTTCAATGGAATTATCATACATAAAAAAGCATAAAGCTCATAGGAAATATTCTCTTGAAATAATTTTCAACTTTATAAAAAGAAAGAAAAATCTGACTCCACATCCTAATGATATGTATGTCTTTTCTTTACCAAACATTTAAATAGCTTTTAATGCCCTTTCACTATTATCAAGTGATAAGGATTTAAATATATTGCACTTATATACTTTGGGAACTAACTACATCAATCATTTGCTTCTACAAGACAATAATGTAAGTGGATGACTTAGAATATTTAACATAAAAATAGAGATTTTTATGTCTTTCATCATTTCAATCATTAAGTGAATTTTTAATATCTTTCTTTTCTTAGTTGGACCTTTTACTTGGTCAGAAGTCTATAAGCGTTCAGAAATGAATTAATTGTGAGAAGAAACTTTTTTTTTCCAATATGACTAGACAAAAGAGAATGTTTAAATCATAGAGTTGGAAGGAATCCCTTACCTTCCCAATTCTATCCCATTTTTACCTTATTGTAAATATTTGTAATGAAGGATAAACACAATATAAAGTTTTTCTTTGTAGCATATTTTATTATTCTTAAGACATGCTGATCTCTTTGTTGATCTAAAATCTATTACCTTCCTTTGTTCCCTCCTTTCTTTATTCTTCCCTCTGAAAACATACGGAATAAATATATTTTCTGTTCAGTTTAACATATTGAAGACACTGCCACAATTATTGAGTTTTGAACTTGGTTGTATTTTTTTCCTGAGATAGTCAGCCTGAGTTTATTGAACCGTTCCTCTGTTTCAGAGGTAGTCAATGTGTGGACTAGGACTGGCCCATGATTATTTCTCACCCTTTGAGAACTATATGTTATAGGTCCTCGGGGAGCTGTGCCAGAATATAAATCAACATCCTCTTGCCTTCATTGAAAAAGTCTTGCTATGGAAAAATAAAGCTAGCTGAATTAAATAGTGCTAAACAGTGTGGTTAATGATATAGTTGCTTTACATTGTGGCACAAGCTTTTTTATATTGTTGCAGATAAACAGTTGAGCTAACTCATTTGACAGCATTTGTTCTTATAACATAAGTTCTAGATCCTTTCTAATTATTCTTCTCTAGATTACAGCCAATGCTTCCAGAGAGAGAGAGTCTGCTAAAAATATAATGGAAAGCATTACTTCCTTGTATCTGGACACTATTCGTCTTAGCATCATAGCCTAATAGTTTTTAATGAGTTTTAATCAAGTACAACACCTCAGAATTATATATTTATTTTCAAATTCATGCTACTTATAGTCCATTATTTCAAAGTGGCTACCTACAAATTATTCTATCCAATTTTGTATTCGTGAATGTAAGGTATGTAGTTATTGTTCTGTAAAACAAAACAACAACAAAAAACCCCCCACCAACTCAGTCACTTTAAACAATAACATTTAAAAGGAAATTCTCATGAGTCTCTGGTTCAGCAGGTCAGTTGTGGTGACTTTGGCTTGTTCCTCTGATCTTGACTGGGCTCTCAAGCATTGGCTGGGGGCTGACTGGTCTAGGACAGTCTCTGCTGAGACAACTCGGCTCTCCTCCACAGGATTTGTATCCTCCAGGAGACCAGCTGGAGCCTGTTCTCATGGCAGTGACAGGGTCCCAAGATTGGTAGGAAGCACACAAGACCTCTGTAGGGATCAGCCTCAGCTCTGCATAGAGTAGATCAGACAAGGGTAGAAAATGGACCTGGAGGTGGACAAGGAGAAAATAACTACCACCATGCCAATGTCTTCTTCAAAGTTCTTTATACAAATTTTGAAAATGTCACTGACAAATATTTTCCATGGAATACCTAATGGACCTTACAGATGCATTGATCAACAGTTTAGAATATGTTATTTAAACAGCTATGACTGTACCAATAAGAGTTTTCATCCAATCTATGTTTTTCCATGCTGTTAATAAGGGTTCAAATTTGACGCTTCAATTAAGAAATCATCTGTAGTTTCCTGAACATAGGAGTGATCATCACTGCATTATTTATAACAACAAAATACTGGAACAAATGCAGGGCTGAATAATTTAATATGGTAATCCACATTATAAGTTATTCCATGTGGTTTTTAAATTTTAAATAATTGATGAAATGGGAAAATGCTCACAATTTAATTTTAATGACAAAGTGTTAAGATACATAGTGAAACACAATATAAACAAAATTACAGACATCACATTTTATACCCAATATAGAAATATTTTGAAATCATAGAAAGAAATGCAATAAAAATATACTTATTATCTTTGGATGGCAAGATTATATTGATTTTTATTTTTATCTTAACATTTTTAGATATTTTCCAGATTTTCTACAATAAACAACATCATATCAGAAAAAAATAAACATATATTTAATTTTTTTGTATTTTGTAATTTTCCTGGGAATTAAAATAAAGCTCACATTTCCCTCTACTTTGAAAATTGTGCATTTGTCCATTGCCAATCTGATATTTTCTGAAAATTGTTATGAACAGTTACAATTGGGAAGGAGAGTATAGTAGCTAGAATTTAATAAGTATTTCAAAAGCATAGTAGCAGATTTTAATAAGTAGTTCAAAAGCATAGTAGTTAGATTTTAATAAGTATTTCATCAACATTTTCATCTTAAAAATATTTCCTGCAGTCACATGAATGCATGTTTTCTTTTTCTATTGAATGCCAAAAAGAAACAGGACTTTATTATTATCTTGGAGCAATATTAAATTTCTATTCTAGAACCAATAAAAAGGAACAGGTCTGTGGGACAGAATGGGAAAGCAGGAGGAAAATATCTCCATTGATGCTTCATTGGTTATATCACTATGTGACCGAGGGACCTATGAGATAACTATATCTATTTTGACACTGATTATTTCTTTATAGCCTTTAAATTCTTACTAACGCTGAAAATCATATGTCATGAGGTTACATTTAAGCCATCTGGAATACTTAAATGAATACATTCAGATGCTAGAATAAAGCCTCTGAAAACACAACAGGTAACTCTTTTCCTGCAAAGGATGTAGAATGTGAAGGTGAGTAAATCACCTACCAGACACAATGTCTACCAGAGGCATTGTGGTAAAGTTGGCCACAAATTCTCTGATTCTCCTCCCACTGAGAAGTGGAGTCTCTACCCCTCCTCTTAAATGTAAGTGGATTCTGTAGGGTAGAATATAGCAGAAGTGACACTGTGCCAGTTTCCAGGTTTCAGCCTTAAGTGACTGGCAGCTTGTAATTCCTGATTCTTGGAAAACTCATTCCAGGAAGCCACCTGCCAGTTTGTGAGAAGCCTAAGCCACCTGGAGTATTCATACCTGTAGGCCCCAGCTGACAGCCCCAGCTGAGCTCAGCCAACTGTGAGCATCAATGCAGACATGTGAGTGAGCCTTTTTGGAAATGGGCCAGTCACATCTTCAGGTGACCCCAGCCTCAGCCACTATGACTCCAGTTATATGAAAGATCCCCAGGAAGATCCATGCAGCTGAGCTCAGACAACCCCCAGAACCATGAAACATAATAAATTGCTGTTTTAAGACACTAAGTTTGGAAATGGTTTGTTGATTACTAACCAAAAAACTAGAACATTAGCCATTTGCTGGTATAGTACTTGAGATAAAATGTGAAAATACAGAAAATAGATGGTGACATAAGATCTCTGTAAAACTATCTTTCAAACTGGAATGGAGACATATACTCTGTAATTAATCAGGGAAACCAAGAACAAATAAAAAGAAAGCTCAAGATAGCATTTCACATTTGGAGTATGTTTATGGCACTTTACAGTTTACCATAACCTTGAGGAATATGAATTATTATCATCATTATTTTTTATACTTTTCATCCCTCCCTCCCTTTCTTCCCTTTGTCTACCTCCAATTTCCAAGTTGTTTTCACTCCACTAAACCTCAGAAGGAGCCTCATTCATCTTCATATTCTCCCCATGCCATTTATAGTACATGAAATATACTAAAGAATGCTGCTCAAACAGGTACCCATTTGGAGAAGTCTGGTAGGCAATCTTAAAGGTGAAAGGGTAAACCCTGGCAGGGTGTTATCCACAGAAGCCCACATTTTTTCTGCTTAATCAGAAATGATCAATACAGTTAGGAACAGTTTTTGTTGTTGTTGTTTTAGAAACAGTTTTTGTGTATTTTTTAAAGCCATGACAACAAAAATATTAGATGTGTAAACCTTTTTTATACTCACCACCAATTTTAAGACTTTTCTAGAGTGTTTTATAACTCTGTTTTGCTTCTAGGTATTCCAAAGTTGATCACATCTGATATGATTAAAGAAGGTGCTGCTGTAATTGATGTGGGTATCAACTATGTCCACGACCCAGTAACAGAAAAGATAAAATTAGTTGGAGATGTGGACTTTGAAGGTAATAAATTATATCATTCTTGATAAGTAAAGGTAAAGAAAGATTGTATTCTTTGTGTTTTGATAGTAGAAAGAGAAAGTTTCTATTTGATGGCGGCAATATTATTAATCAGTGTGACTCTTTCCTCTGAGGGCAGCATGGTGAATAAGAGCGAAGTGCAGTTGGAGCTTATCAAACCGCACACTGTTGCCCTCCTAGGCTGTCATAGGCTCCCTGCATGGATGGAGCTCCCAGTCCAGTAAGCTGGCTCTCCAAGGGAACATGCGTGTCTGTCTGTGTATGTGTGTGTTATGTGTACCTGTTGATCTCTTTAGGAAATGACCCCATTTCTTTATTTCACTTTTCATGCTCAGTCACTAATGTCAGATAGCAATAATTTATTTGAATGTCTCAACTTGAAAGAATGAGAATATATTTCAAGTCTTGACCCTATTTCCTATTTTTCTTGCACTGTCATTCTGCTTCTTGATAACATTACAGTTACCCTGTGTTGATTGTAAAAATCACCACACACTTATGATGCACCAGATGGCATAGACAGCACATGATAACCAGCTTGAGGCAAGAAAAGCTGGGATGTTTTCAGTTCATAACCTTGACTGTGCTTGTGGGATAAACTTACCCAGCAGTTCACCATATCTTATAAGACCTTTCTCTTATATGATGTGTTGGTCTCACATCATTTCCATGCATTCTTATGATTAGCTAAGAATATTTTTTTTGCTCATGAGGATATTCTGAAAATATTTTAAAATGAGCATTTGGGGGTGAGTGCATATGCTTAGTGCACTTCAGCTGGCAAACTACTCCACTTGGTAGAATCTATTAAATTCAATTGTGGTTGTGTATCAAAGTATATAATGAAATAAAAAAAAAGAAATCACAATGAGAAACAAGCCATGAAATGGACAGGAAAGAGCATTTGTCTGGGACTCTGAAGAGGTGCTTTTAGACCTGGTATTCTAACCCACTAACTTTGCAACCTCTCTGGGCATCGTTGTTATTATCAGTTAAATGATAGAATGGCTCCTTCTAGTCCTAATGCTTGGTATATATTGTACATTCAACTGAGTGCTACCAAATGATTGTGTAAAACCCCATAAACGTTTGTAAGGTCAGATTTTTCTGATCCTAAAAATCTCACTCTTGCTACATTGCTGGTTCATGGAGCTAGAGGCCTAAGGAAGACCTGTACTTAGTAAAGAAGACCTTGCCATGTAGGCCATGACTCAGCCACCCAGAGGAGCAGGCAAGTGGTAGGTTTTGACATGTCGTTCTTCATGTTGTTCTTCAGGACTTAACCTGAGGTGAGGGCCGATCCCTTGGCTGAGAAGGAGGAACTTTTAACTTGGGTTGTGACACAAAACTTATAAGGTAGCATTTGGCTGCTAATTGCCATAGGGAAAGTGTGGCTGCCTTGTGAGTATTGGTGAAAGTTTCACTAGAACTATAGCCAAGATCAACAAAACGGATGTAGATAAAATCAAGTGCTGAAGGAAATTGTCCTTGCTGAAATCTTTGGCTTACTAATAAAGGAAACAGGACAACTGACGTCAAGTAGATTACTTTGATGGGAATAATTTTTTAAAGAATAATTTCATCAATGACCTATTAGAGGAATATTAAAAGTATGTAAATAATTGCAAATTTAATAATTTATAAAACCAGGAATCATTTTATCTATTTTATTTCTAAGAAAATTCAGATGCCTATTTGTAATCTTCATTATTAGATGTATTGGCCTCAGTTTGAATCACTCTCTCAAAAGAGTGATATTTTATAAAGCTTGTATTAACTATAGTTCTTGACAAAAGAAAACATAAAAATACCCTTTTTTCTTTTTTACTGTAATGTCAGGTTTGTGTTTTGGTGTAGGTATTATTTTCTCTAGAGCACATCTTTCTTCATCTACGTAGGTTTCCTGTTCTCAATTTTCCTCTGCTTCATTCTCTTCTTCCTTTTTTTATTTTTCTCCTCCTTCTGAGCCCAGAATAGAATAGAATAACTTTTTTTAGGGTAATGGCATTGTATAGTGTTCAGGACTAAAGGTGACATTGAGAGAAACAATTTTCCATCTCTCCACTACTGCTCCAACAACTCCCTACCACCTCAGTCACAGATTTGCCAATATTCTTGAAGAGGTGACAGGAAAATCTAGAAGAAAATTATATTGAGGGAAAAGAAAATATGAGAGGCTTTTCTACAAATGACCTGAGAAGATGGGGGCATTTGTATTGTTCTTCATTTAGTAATAACAGTAGCTAGTGTTTGAGATTCTTTCAATGTGCTAGGTACTGTTCTCATCCTCTTGCATTAATTATTAATTTTTTATGAACCCCTTAAGGTAGGTGTTATCACTATCCCTAGTTTATAGAGGCACACAGACCCTGAGCATCATGCCTGAGATGACATAGTCATGTAGCACCATTTGTTCACAGCCAGACTCTTGCAATTTCTACCCTCTATTGCAGGAGAGGGGAAACTTTTCTGTCAAGGACCATTGGGATATTTATAACATCATTCGAGGGCCATATAAAATTATCAACTTAAAAATTAGCCTGCTATACTGGTATTTGGTCAAACATTAAATTAACTCACCCCTAATGCCTTGGCAGGGCGAGGCCAAATGATTTCACGGGCCTTATATGGCCCACGGGCCGGACATTCCCCACCCATGCTACATCTCCACTATTTTGTACTTTACATGGTTAATGCATAAAGTCACTTTTTAATTTAACCCCCAGGATATGTATATATCAAGTTTCAAATGTGCTTGGACAGTGCTTTGGTGTATAGCAATCCTCACTTTGCTTGGTTCTGGTGTGCAGAGATTTCAGTTACCATGATTTAGCTACATAACACTAGTCTCCCAACAAAGAAGTTTGAATTTTAGTGGTATCCTATCTAATAAAGAGGAAATATGCTAATTGACCCTCACACCATCACAAAGATGGTGGCGCCCACAGCCAATAATGAGGGAATATGCTAATTGACTGCCCTTCCCTCAAAGATGGCGGTGCCCACAGCCACAAGATGGCCGGCAGGAGAGGGCAGTTGTAGGCGATCAGGCCAGCAGGAGAGGGCAGTTAGGGGCAACCAGGCCTGCAGGGGAGAGCAGTTGGGGGGGACCAGGCCTGCAGGGGAGGGCAGTTGGAGGAGACCGGGCCATCAGGGGAGGCCAGTTGGGGGCAATCGGGCTGGCAGGGGAGGGCAGTTGGGAGCAATCAAGCCATCAGGGGAGCAGTTAGGTGTCAATCAGGCTGGCAGGGGAGTGGTTAGGGGGTGATCAGGCTGGCAGGCAGAAGCAGTTAGGGGCAATCAGGCAGACAGGCAGGCGAGCGGTTGGGAGCCAGCAGTCCTGGATTGTTAGAGGGATGTCCAACCGCCAGTTTAGGCCTAACTGGCAACCGTACATCCCCCGAGGGGTCCCAGATTGGAGAGGGTGCAGGCTGGGATGAGGGACACCCCCCCAAGTGCAAAAATTTCATGCACCAGGCCTCTAGTGTTAACTATAATTGCATAAAGTGCAAACTTCACTGCTAGGTCCTCAGTCCAAAAAGTATTATGTAAATATCTAATGTGGGTTGTGACCAATCATGTCACAAGTTTCTAAGTGTGTTGGTGATTGGCTCTGGCACATTCAGTTCAGATAATAAAGTGCACAGTTCTGTTGACTCCTTGTCCCCCAGTGATAGACCTCATGACATTTTACAAACATAGATCATGGAAAGAGGGAATTACCAGGAAGTAAATGAAGAGTGATGATACTGAAGGGGAAATTTGAAATAGCTGATCAGGAGATATTGACAATGTCTGCATTTGCCATTTGAAAGACTCTAAATATACAGCTAGAGGGATTTACTGAAGGCAAACTTATGGACATGTATAGAATGTCCCAGGACAGGTTGGGGGTGAGGCTGGGATGCCAGACAGATGGGGTAGCAACAAAGGGCAGGCCAACCACAGCTGAATTGGGCCATACTAGTTGATAGGTGGGCCACAGAGTGGGAGTCTGCTTTGAATCCAGGACCCCTGGCCTTGGGAGATTGGGCTATTGCCACTGCCATAGTCCACAAAGTCCCCAGTAGTTGGGGCAGTGGTACACTAAGGCAGCCCAAGGCAAGGAGGCCTGAGTCATATTTTCAGGAACCGGAGGCAAATCTACAAAAAAAGCCTTGGTTTCCATTCCAGAGCCCAGGGTTGCACAGGGCTCCCAAGACTTTGCATATCTCCTGATTCAATACTAAGGTTCTTGTGCGTATGCCTCCCTGGGTGGGGCAAGTTACCTGCTGTTAGAATAGAGCCCATGGATATACCCAGAGTGGGATTGCTGGATTAAATGGTAGTTGTATTTTTAATTTTTTGTGGGACCTCCATACTGTTTTTCATAGTGGCTATACCAATTTGCAATACCTCAGACAGTGCACAAGAGTTCCCTTTTCTTGCCCTAGCTAGTTTTGCTCAGTGGATAGAGCACCGGCCTGCAGTCTGAAGGGTCCTGGGTTCGATTCTGGTCAGGGGCACATGCCCGGGTTGTGGGCTCGATCACCAGTGGAGGGCATGCGGGAGGCAGCCGATCAATGATTCCCTCTCTTGTCTCTCTCTCTCTCTCTCGCTCTCTCTCTCTGAAAAATATATATATATATATATATATATATATATATATATATATATCCCTTTTCTTTACATCCTGGCCAACATTTATCCTTTGTCTTTTTGATAGTGGGCATTCTAACAGGTGTGAGGTAATATCACATTGTGGTTTTGATTTGCATTTTCCTGATGATTGATGATGTTGAGCATCTTTTTATGTTCCTGTTGGCCATTTGGATGCCTTCTTTGGAAAATTCTATTTGGCTTCTTGGCCCATTTTTTAATTGGATTGTTTGGTATTTTGTTATTGACTTGTGTGAGATCTTTATATATTTTGGATATTAACCCCTTATCCATATATGGTTTACAAACCATATTCTCCTATTCTATCAGTTGCCTTTTAATTT